ATCAACAATAACATCGCTACCACTCCACGCTCCGCTCACGCGCATAGTCTCAGTGCGGCCGCGCAGGCCGACCCGCGCAGCGAGGGAACCGGTTATCAATGTTATTGTTGATCCGTCGTCGAGCAATGCAGTCGTGCTGATTACACCATTAGGTCCGTGTATGTTTATAGGTACTACTTTCAATAACACGTTGTGTGCAGAGTTAATGTGTGTCACGGTAGCAGCTGCGGCTCTGGAAGTGTGGCCGCTGTGGGCCGCGTCGCCGGTGTCGCCCGCGCCGGGCGGGGCGGGGCGCGGCTCCCGGCCGGCGTCGCGCGGCTCCCGGCTGACGTCGCGCGGCTCCCGGCCGGCGTCGCGCACGTAGTGCAGCAGCCGGTGGTGTGCCTCGCCGCAACCGTCTTTGTCGCAGACGGCCGCGGGACACGTTTCTCGATCGTGGCGCGACACTAAGCACTTGTAACATACGCCGTGGCGTTTAACGTGACGCCACCTGTCTTTGCGCAACGCTTTTTTAAACATTTTGCACTCAGTTAATTTATGTTTTGCGACGTTGCAAAATAAACACTTAATGTCACTGTGCGTTGATTGCACTAATACTGCATGAGGACGACTGTCAGGTTTACTCTTGTAGTGCTGCTGAAATCCGACGCTGCGAGCCTCTGTGGCGTGTACGTTCGCTGTAGTCGAAATTTTAACAGCTTCTTGATTTAAAAAATCGCCTAATATATTCAAACGTGATTTCTTTCCTTCCTTTATTATAGCAAAACTATAATCGGACCATTTTGATATTAGTACGGTAGGCATCTTTGATAAAATAATGTTTGAAATATGCATTCCTTGCATGTACTCTTCTCGGCCGACGGCGTGCACAGCTGCGATGAAGTTTTGAACTTTAACTGCGAACCACACGATGTCTTTGTTGTATTCGTTCGACATAGGTGGTAGTTTCTTCAGGCCCTGGGTAATTTTGCTTAGAATGGTGTCTGCGTTACCGTATAGTAGCTCTAAAGTTTTTATCACTACGTCGGGTGATGTAGCGCTTATCATGAGAGCTGAAACTGCTTCCTTAGCTGGGCCGTGAAGACACTTCCTTAAACGCCATAAATTTTCCTTCGGGCTAAACCCGCACACTTCGGTAGACTCGTCATAAGCCTGCTTGAACTGGAGCCATTCCAACGAGTCCCCTGAGTAACTAGGTAGGTCCCGGGGGGTACACATGCGACTAAGCAGGTTGTTGTTTGTCCTATTATTTGCAAAGATCGAGGATAGATTCTGTAGTGCGCTCGCGAGCATATGAACCGTTCCGTCACATGGGCCGGCAACGGGTGCCGCCAGCGGACACTGCTTGCCCGGCTGATCACCGAACTCTGGAGCGTGCAACGGGGGTTCGCGCTCGAGCTGGCTTTGTTCTAACCATTTCTCCACTTTCTTATTCTTGGTATCGTCGTGCGGGTCACTATGTGGACTGTATATTTCCTCTTTTTCATCCATAAGGTCTGCTAAATCCGCCTGAAACTGCTTATCGATGAGATCCATTTGAATTTTAGCCTTTTTTTTAGCCATCTCTAGTTCCAGTTTCTTTCTCCTGGCCATCAGAGAGGACGACGTGGACGTTGACTTAGCCCCGGTGCGCGAAGCGGGCGGCTGTTGCAAGCGGTACTCGTGCTAGGCGCTGCTACCCGCAATATCATATAGTTGGCTAGCGGTCGGTGTCTGTTTATCCTTCTGTGTATTTCCATCAGTTGGCTGTGGCTGCACTTGTAACTGGACTTCCTGATTTTCGTCCTCTTTGCTCTCGAGCTCCTTGCGTGTAGTGCTTCGAGTTTTTACCATTTTTGCAGGCGGCGTGCTGTACATTAGATCCGATTCGAAGACCACTTTGTAAAGGGTGCACTGGCGCGATAAAATGGTAGGAAACTCGAAAAACAAAATTCGTTAAAACAGTTTATTTTTAAATGACACAACGTAGGTACACGAACAAGAGCATATGAGAGAGAGCAAGGGTACGTGTGTCGCGCGCGATAGTAAAGGCTGACTGCCTGCGTCGCCGTTCGATTTCTAGTTTTAATACAACACTGTAACGTCACACGTATCCTCGATTTTCTACCTTAAGATTTAGGATAATATTTAAACATATGAGATGATTGGGCCGTCATACCCGCAACCTTAAGCTAATACAAATTTGTATAACGATTTTTGAGCACGTCGCTAACAGTAAACGTAAAGAGAGTAACTCGATACCACACTCGATGAAATATAACAGCCTTGAAGCTTCTGATCATAAGGGGATTTGTGACTTATTTTCAACTTATTTTGGTTCCGGTTTTGAGACAAATAGTTCAGCCCAGGACTCCTCCACTAACTCTATAAATGTCCCCGTCAACAGTACCCTAGCTTCTGTCTCAGTTTCTGTTGAGGAAATTATTAATGTAATTAAAAGCATTGATTCTTACAAGGGAGCTGGGCCGGATACAATGCCTCATTTTTTCATCAAGATCTGCGTAAATGGAATTAGTTTACCAATCTGTATACTTTTTAACCAATCACTCAGTTCAGAAATTTTCCCCGATCGATGGAAGACAGCACATATAGTGCCTATTTTCTATTGGAAATAGAACTATTTGCGAAAATTACAGACCTATCAGTATAATGTCTTGCTGCGCGAAACTTTTCGAATCTGTTGTGTCTGAGCTCATTTATAATCACATAAAACCTTTTTTGTCGACCAAACAACGCGGTTTTTTTAAAAATAATCCACAATCACCAACTTACTAGAATATAAAAACTATTAATGTTGTGCTTTTGCTAAAAATGTACAGGTAGATTCCAAATATACCGACTTCTCTAAGGCTTTCAACAAAGTTGACCATTTTCTCCTTTATTGAAAGCTTTGTCAAATGGCTTACTTACTGCTTACTGCTTCGGTGGGTCGAATCGTATTTGTCTCGAAGGAGTCAGCTGGTGGCTATCAAGGGTGAACTATCCAACCCAGCTCTTGTTACCTCAGGCTCGGCTCACAAGGCTCGATTCTTTGCGATTTCTTTATGAATGACCTTGTTGAGCAATTGAAATGTACTAGCCTACTATACGCGAACCTTCGATCAACAATACCAACTAGATGACGGGTCACGTACAAAATCATAGCTAAGTACTGTCCGCAAGAATATAAACTATGAAAAGACATAAATTAAATAACATTTAGTGGGAAATCAACCTTAAGTTATAACAAATAAAGTTCTTTTACCCGTTATTGCCTTGCGAGCTACACTCTCATGTGCAAGAGCTCACGTCTCATGTGCGCTCTTATTTACTGAGATGTATTTCTTGCGCCGACCCGACATCTAGTTGGTATCGTTGATCGAAGACGCGAATGATTTAAAAATTTTCTCCGAAATGGCTACCCTTGAAGACGTCGAAGCATTACAAACGGATATGGAAACCGTGGCGAGATGGTGTACTGATAATCATATGTATCTAAATATTAATAAATGTTTTGTAGTCTCCTTTACTAGAAAAATAAATAAAATTGTCTATAAATATGGCCAAAACTTAACAGGCAGAGTCACGCTAAGAGATTAAGGTGTAATTTTTGATGATAAATTGAGTTTTCGCGAGCATTACAATTATATTCTTATGAGGGGTGGTAAAATGATGGGTTTTGTCCTGCAAAACACCAAGCAGCTTAAAAAGCCGAACAGTATGGTATATCTGTATAATTCACTAGTACGGAGCATTCTGGAATATGGTGCAATCATCTGGTCTCCATTTTACGCCGTACATATTGACCGCATTGAGAGCATTCAAAAAAGATTCTTGAGATTTCTCTCTTTTAGTCATGGTTACCATCGCAAGTTGGCCTCCTATACAGAGGCTGCAGAAATTTAATATGGTTACTCTGGAAAAGAGACGCAAAAGGTTCAAGCTTAAATATCTACATAAAAGTACACTCTTCATTTGATTCTCCGTCCCTGCTTACATCAATTAACGTAAACACTCACTACAGGGCCCATGATCGCAAGCCTTAAGCTGTTTACACTCCAAGTGTACCGTAACAAAACATCATATCACAGCCCAGTGGTTAGGATGTGTCGCCTCTACAATGATATATCCAGGACTTCTAGGTTAGACTTCTAGGTCAGACAGGATTTCTAGGTTAAAACCCAAATTATATATAGATTTATCCGTGGTATTCTGAAATAATTGGTCTCGTCTGTTTTATGTTTCATCTTACTTTTGTTTAGTTTTAAATCTGTGACAAGCCTCTTGTAATCTGCTTTTGGATGGGTGATTACAAAACCACGGTTTATTAAATTATTTATACTTTAGTAGATGTAACTCATTACAATGTACTTCATAAACACATGTTTTGGCTTGCAGTTTAGTACTAAATTATTTAATTTTAAGAAACTTTTATCTCCATAATTGTAGACTGCACTGTGTTAATATATAAAATGAAAACTCATTTTACACACTTACAAGCTCACTGCTGAACATAATTATATCATCTAGTCCGAACTTTCAGTGATGACGACCAGTCTGAACGGAGTCTAGCCAGCGCAGGCCAGAATTATAGTGTGCGAGTACATGCGCAAGCACAGTCTATTCCCTCATTCTTATAACCCGATGGAACGGCAGACCGACACGACCGAAAAGAGATTAGGCGCAGGACCAACGGCTTGCCGTGATTTTCGAGGCACGTTGATGTAAATCCACATACTTTCTGACTGCTGCTGGTGCTGCTGCTGATAATTTACCGTCAGAAAAACTCTCCAGACCTCAAGATCATCAGTTTCGATTAGGAACACTAGATCAAAAGGGCATTCATGTTAAAGTCAGCGAGCAGCATAAAAGTTTAATAACTTACTTAAAAATCACTCCAAAAATTTGACAAAAGTATGTAAAAAACCTTTGGGACTTCAAAACCATCAGTCTCGTTAACGAACACTAGATCAAAGGGGCATTTATGTCAAAGTTTGCTAATAGCATAAAAGTTGAATAACTTACTCAAAAATCACTCCACAAATTTGACAAGGGTATGTATGACCATTGTGCCACATCTCGTGCTCTCTCGCCTTGCACCTGAAAGTTAATGTATTCTTTAGCTTTAAAACGCTAAAGTAAATCAACACAAAATTGCAATTAACAATTCAATGATGGAATATTACAATTATTATCATTATAGCTTATCCAATTTCCACTTACAGGAAACAATATGGCGGACATGTGGACAACCGCACATTTGTTATCAAGAAGATACTGCTGCCCATCTTTTGCTTCATACCCTTCTGTCTACATTGCCTCTTACAATACCCAAGCAATGATATGGGATAGTGGATTATATGCCGTCACTACATGACGATATACTTACTACAAAAAAGTTATCCAGTGATATACTTGGTAGAGTCACGCTGCAGCTGATATGGCTATAACAGCTCGAATAGGTCGGTTCGACCACGCTCAACAGGATACCGGCGTAAAATAGCAGCTTAATGATGATGTGTTCGGTATGGTGAGTGTAAAGAATCGAAGGCTCTTTATGCTAGAAACGAGACATTCCATCTTAGTCCACAGTAGTGACAACGCATATATGTATTTTGATTCTTCATCGTGAATGAATTTAGATGTACGAGGGTGGATTGAAAAGTACTCGGCCTAACCAAGAAAATAAACACATACTAAATCAGTTATATTTTTATTTTTCTACATAATCACCATCAAGTTCAATACACTTTTGCCACCTCCCCTTCCAAGCATTTAGACCGTTGAAAAAAAATGATTCTTCCTTAGAGTCAAAATATGCGTCTACAGCTGCTTTGACCTTGTCGTTTGTCGAAAATCTTTGACCTCCCAAGTGCTTTTTTAGGTTAGGGAACAGAAAGAAGTCTGATGGTGCCAGATCAGGTGAATACGGCGGATGCGGTAACAGTTCAAAGCCACAGTTGTGAATTTCAGCCATTGACTGTACTGACGTGTGAACACGGGCGTTACCTTGATGAAACAGGACTTTTCTTCTGAGCATTGCTCGACGTGTTTCTTTTATTTCCTCTCGTAAACGACGTAGTAAGGTGCAGTAGTAATCAGAGTTTATAGTCTTACCCCTTTCAAGATAATCAATCATAATCACACCTTTCGAGTCCCAGAATACTGAAGCCATCACCTTATTTGCCGACAAAATCGACTTAGCCTTTTTAGGGGGTGGTGAACCAGGTCTTCTCCACTGTTATGATTGTTGTTTTGTTTCCGGTGTATAGTAAGGAACCCATGTTTCGTCCATAGTAACAAAACGATTCAAAAAATCATCTGCATCGGCTTCAAATAACTCCAAACAGTCGCGTGAAATAGTCAATCGCGTCCTTTTTTGTTCAGCTGAAAGCAGTCGCGGAACCCACCTCGCAGACACCTTGTGGAAACCCAACTGGTTGATAATGATGTTTTGAGTTCGTTCATAAGAGAAGCCTATAATCTCGGCTATCTCTCTAATTTTTAATCTGCGGTCTCCCATTATTCAATCAAGTACTTTTTTAATATTTTCGTCAGTAGTTGACGTCGAAGGCCTTCCAGAGCGGGGTTCATCTTTCACACTCTCTCTACCACGCTTAAATTCTGCTATCCATTTTTTGACGGATGAATATGACAGAGCACAATCGCCTAATGTACTGACCATGTCATCATGGATGGCTTTTGATGATAGCCCCTTCTTATGGAGGTACTTAATGACGGCACGCTGCTCGATTTGCTCCATTCGCGGAAATTATGTCCGATTACTTTGTTAATAAATTTATAAAATCACAACTAATTATCGCACACGTTTCGAACTTCACACAATGAACTAGTCTGAACTGAACTAAATAATGTGGGTAGATTTGATTTTTAGAATTGAATGGATCTGTGTTAGGCCGAGTACTTTTCAATCCACCCTGGTATATGGGCTAGAACTTCTACTTATGATCAGTTGGACTGTGTGCTCATTTGTCAGCCCTATTCTATAAAAGTAAAAATATTTTAAGTACTGATTTACCACGTGCTCGGCGGTGAAGGAAAACATCGTGAGGAAACCTGCATGTCTGAGGAATAAGAAAAAAAATTTGGTAGTTACCCTTGCCGCGGGGCGGCCTCAAGAAAGGGGAGGCCATTTGCAGCCCTATTCTAATATAGAAAAAAAAATATTTCGAAGACATGTGAAGTTCGTCAACAGGGCTTGGGGGCGCATTTAGGCAGCGCGGCGGACACTTCCTTGCCCTAAACCCTCTCGGAAATGAGGGGAGGCCTGAGCCCAGCAGTGGGACGTATATAGGCTGTAACTTTACTTTTTACTTTTATTCTATAAAAAAGAGACTTTTTCCTAATTCTCGATTTAGACAAATTTCGGATATATTACTGCTCTGCTCGGTTAATGTTACTCTATGTTATTTATAATAATGTTACTCTCAAAAACCTTTACATATTGGGATCGAGGAGAACACATATGTCAGACATAGACACAAAACCTTTACATATTGGGACCGAGGAGAACACATTTGTCAGTCATAGACATAGTGCTATTATCTTTGCATAGTTGCGTTAAAAATAAAAGATTAAGAAAATAGTTAATGACGTCTCTAAACATAGTAAATGCCCTTAGCTAATGACATCCACGTACATCTATCCTCGGTTAAAAATCAAAATGCAGATGCGTTGTCACTTCGATTGCTAAGTTGGTAAAATTTAAGATAGGAATGGTAAAACTTTTTTTCAAGCCGCCTTTGTAGATAACATCCTCATACATACTACCATACTAATTTCTGTCACCAGATAGCAATGCGTTTACTATTGTGTTCCGGTCTGAATTATGTAGGGAGCCTGTGAGGAATTACATGTTAGTGCTCAGAGGTGAGCATCGGTAACCTTCTTTGTTTGAAGATGATTGCAAGTGTCCATGGACTCCAATAATCATTTACCATCAGGTGGACTATTAGTGAAACACCACCACCTTTCTGCAATTTGATTCTTAATCGAAGATAAATGTCTATTGGTCACAGCATCCACTTACTATCAGGTAGCACACGGTCCACGTGATGGCTATTAGGTGGACTGTGTGCTCGTCTGTCATCCTTATTATATAAAAAAAATATCACCTGGTTTGCGATAGATACGGGCAACGCCTGCATGCGTACCGACGCGCGTGCGCCGCATTAACATGCGCACGCAGCAGCCGTACACAGCTGTATCGCATATGGCACAACTCGCACTCGTGTTCACCGCTCCTCTGCATACATGAGGTTGTTATTACGATGATGACGATGATGATATCCTACTGACCGACTTTGATAATAGCGACAACTTCCGAAACATCTTCATCATCATTACAGTTCTTGCCCAAGGAATGCCACGAAAATCGGTTCTGAGCCACCTGCATCAATTTCTTACTATGTCGTCACTCACCCTAATAGGGAGCCGCCTTACACTTCGCCTACCGTTACAAGGCTGTAGTTCGAAAACTTGTGTCCCCCATCGGTTGTCGGATCTTCGATCCGAATAAATGACCGAAATTAGTCGGCCGTAACATACCAAGTAACTTGAGCAAAACGCCGTTTCCAGAAAATTAAGTTGTGTGTGTGTGTGTGTGTGTGTGTGTGTGTGTGTGTGTGTGTGTGTGTGTGTGTGTGTGTGTGTGTGTGTGTGTGTGATGTGTACGAAAGAAAGTGTGTGTGATTGTTTTTTATAGAATATTTTATCCATATATAAAATAAATCTGTAGAAAAGTCGTGTGACTAAATAAAGGGCACTAAAACAAAATCAGAGGTTTTTAGAATTTTTGTCTGTCTGGTGTATTCAAGAATCTCGCAAAAACTGACCAGATTTCTATTAAATTTTGTGTAGCTAGTTAAGAGACCCTTGGCTACTGACCTAGGCTATTTTTTATCCGATTACGGAACTTCACAAAAGGAGGATTAAGTATTTCCTTCCTATAGATGTTAATTTATATGTCATACAATTGATGTGTTTTATTAAAATAAACAAAATATTTATAAATCCCAAAATTAGTTTTAACCGTTGCGTAATAAATTGAACTACGCCGATTTTTCAAAAGACAGTGCCATCTAAGCTGACGCAGTCTTTTTTACTTTTAATGAGACTTTCGAAACAGTTTTGTCATATATTAAAGATAGCTTTCATATTTTCAGACTTAACTATTAAAATTTTTGTGACAGTCCCGGTTTCATAGCTTTACATGAGTAAATGAACAGGCTCTTGTAAAAAATTAGTGTAAAGCTCAAAGAAATCAAATTTTAAACACGGATTTATTTTCATTTTAACTATGAGTAGAACCGCATTGATAGAATCTTGAAAGTCATCAGTATAAGTCAGTAATCAATCCGATCTAAACGTAAATTTCGTAGTAGGTACGTAAGTAATCCAAATTAGATCAGCGTTGACTCCACTCATATATTAACTGCAATTTGAAGTTTCGATTTACCACGTTCTCGCTGGTGAATAAAAAGATCGCAAGGAAACACGCATATCTGAGATAGGTATGTGAAGTCGGCCATCTCGTGTTGGAGTCAACTTAATTAACTTCTTTGTAACCTAAAACTCGCTGTAGACTGTGCACTGCTACTTTTTTACTTTTAATAGGGCTATTCACTGCTGATCATAGGCTTACCCCATTGTTTGTCAAATATACTAGGTATTTGCAGTACTATTCACGCTTAGCACGCGGATTAGCAACTGCAGCTCTTTATTACTGTGCTCTGTTATCAATAAGATGCTACCCATCTCCTCTTTCTCTATCTCACAAGTAATACATATTATATTAAATTCGATTGCTTATTCGAGGGCCTGGAGTCATCTTGTACTTGGCGCAAAGTATCCAACGCGGTAGTTGTTTATACTTTGATCGGTATTTTAATACGAATACACTCTTGGAAAGATTACATGGTTGTTGGTAGGTATACGAAATCAATAAAAAATAAGTTATATATGTATTAACCTGGCAGATACTTAACGGAGAGTTAATTCAAGCCTCTCTTCAACGGTGATAGCGAATCAGACAGGACTATAGCTGGCCCGATTAGATATACGAGCTCATCAAAAGACGAAATTTTCATTATGTAGAATGAAAAAAAAAAATTATCTGGGTAACATCAGAGTTTAGAGTGCTGCTGCGAGGTATGATGTTTCCCATATTCTAATCTGTCACTTAATATAGGATGCACCCAAGATGTTCTCTTTGATTTCATCTTCTTTTTATTATTAAAGCAAACGCTTTTTACGTCCGAGCGTGTGTCCTTCTACACATAACTCTACCTGCAAAAAGAAAGGTCAGGCCTGTCGTCCGCGGAGTTCTTTTCGAACTTGCAAACGAGGACATCCTGGAAGACCCCAAATCGCAAGGTTTTCCCATTGAGGATGTGCATAAGATGCACAACAGCAGAGGCGAGAGATTCAATCTTGCCCTATTCATACTCTTATACGTTCCGGAGGCGAAAACCATATTCCGGCAGGTACGCAGCGTATGCGGCTTGTCGCGAGTAAAGGTCGAGCCTCCCCACTTGATATGCACGCATTGCCACGCGATGTCTACAAAGTGAAGGGCGATACATAAACCGTTTTAAGCGTTAATGTACGCTTGTTTGTAATAAATTTAATTTAATAAGACTGGCCTTCAAAATTTGTATAAAAAATTGACCAACAGTTTTGTAAGTTTTGCTGTATTAAGATTAGGGCTTACTATTCGAATATTCGTTTTATTCGAATATTCACCTCATATACTATTCGAATAATATGTAGAGTAATATTCGAATATTTCGAATTTTTCGAATACTGCAAATAACATAGAGATAAATAGAATTTAATAATAAAAATATTTCAGAACATTTTTCAGCCCTAGTAATTCAAATATTGGAAGATCTTTCCAACTCGCTGAACATAATAAAGGCAACAGTTGGAGCATTTTGCGAACATAAGGCAAATCTATTAACATGTGAAACAGTCCCAAAGTTTATGATGACGAAGCTTACGAAAATAAATAGCACAATAAGCCGTGAACTAGCTGAATCGATGAAAACTCGCATATCGCAAAGAAGATCTTTAGAACTGACAGGGACTTTTAAATATCTGCACAAAAACTTAAAATTTCATCAAGAACCGCCTTCTAATGTATTTCCTAATCCCTCAAATAAGATGATGGTTGAAACAATAACCTACATCAATAAGACATATTTTAAGACAATGACCAGCAACATTATTTTCGATGAAGATGATGAAGTCACACTTTCTGATTTACAACAGTGGAAAAGAATGCTTCAAAATTTTCTTGCTGACAAAAGTATTCAAGAGCAGCTGAGAGATCAAATTGATTAAACGTTGATTAATAAGACGACTTCATCCCCCTCATCTACATTTAGGTCTAACGAAGACTTAGAAATTGCAATGCGTGTAAAAATGGCATCTTATGAGGCATGAAAACATTCGAAAAATTCGTAATATTCGAATATTATGTCGCGAACTATTCGAAATATTCGAAAAGTAAAATTGAACGAATAATGCAAGCCCCAATTAAGATGTATGAATGCGTGAAGTCCACGCTAGGCTACGAGCCGTCGTGCCGCTGTCAGCCCGCCCTTCGGCAGCGAGGACAAGGCGAACAATGTAATAATGTCTTCCACACCGATTTCACTCACGGCGGCAAGTCTCAACGAATACTATCTAGCTACGCAAGATAGAATTTAAGTGCCCAAGTGTATGCGCAAGCTAGACTAGCATTACTACATTTAAATTGCTTTTTTTTAATATTTAATAGTTTGTCTTCTGACAGTTCTCTGAGTGATGAAGAAAATACAGTACAAAGCATGCAAAGTAACCGTTACTTAGAATTCGGAAATACGCAACGTAAAACTTACTTGCGTATTTATTGAATATAAAATGAATTATTTTTAGAAAAATCCATCACCTTAAATCGCGAAAAAAATTACGATGTTGCAGGGTGTTCTTAAAAAATAACTTTGAAACCAGGCAATAGTATTCCGTCAAATAAAGTACGCAGCACAAACATTTAATACAGAAAAACACTTATGCTTGTTAATGTTTGATGGTATGTTGCTTTCACTATTACTACAGTATGATAAAGCTTAAGATCAAATAGTCGGCTCAAATAATAAATAATATGGCAATAATCAAATAGCTATATAAGATCAAATATTCTGCTTTGACGATTTTGGCGAAAATAATCAAAAAGACAATACTGCTGATCATGTTTTAGTATTTATGTTAAAGGGTGTAAAATTCAATAGAAGCAACCTATTTCCTCTTCTTTTTGCAAAAGCGCTACAAATGCAACAGTTCTTAAAAAATGATACAGAGTATTATAAAAGAAATATTTCAGGCAGGATTAATTGTTGCTGCAACTGTGTGTGATCAATCAACAGGTAACACAATGGTAGTATATGAATTATTAATCGAGACAAATGAAGAATAATTGAGACTGGGTACAATGCTTTTCAAATTGAAAATCAGGATATATTCCCGTTATTCGACCTACCACATTTATTAAAAGGAGTAAGAAATAATTTAATATCAAAAGACCTAAGGTATATCCAGAATGACATTTTACAATACAACATTTAAAATTACTGTTGGAAATTGATGCAGGAAAAATGACTTTAGAATGTGTAATAAGCTTACAGAAATGCCTGAAAAAATTCCCAAAAGGTGAATCACGCAGCTCAAGATTTTAGCCAACAAGAATCAGGAGCTTTACGATTTTGTGCAAGTAGGTATACGACACGTATAGGATATCTCTTTATCACTTATCTACTTTCATTCTCTCTTGTATCAAACACTTTATTGCACGCTCTTCTACTTCTACTACTTCTTATTATTTTAAAAGTGCTTATAACATTTTATTACTTTGCTAAAAATATGTTACTGCCACAAGAATGTGAAGATACGGCGGATATACAGGGTTTCCAGTGGCAGATTTCAAAGTTTGAATGAACCTAGTTTCCGAACGCAACATGCGAGAGGGGCGCGGAGGGGGTTGTTTGAAGCTCAAGCACTGCGGATTTTTAGTAATCATGGAGCAGTGGAGTATCGAGAACCGCGTTTTTGCCATCGAGGCGTATATTTCGAGTGGTTTTTCACTGTCTGAAGCACGCCGTCGGTTTAATACTTGTTACGGTATTTGTCAATTACGTGATAGACTATCGATCAACCTACTTCAGTCTTGGGTAGCAAGGTTCAGAGCTACATGATCAGTATTAAATAGATCCA